CACAGTGTTACACACAGCCAAAAAATGCAGGTAAAGCAATACAAACGAGACCTGTTGGCTGATATTTAACTACACGTGTTTTGAATTTGACCTGCATTTTCGACTTCTTTGTGATTTAGGACTACTGGACGTTCTTGCAGCCTGTTGGTATTTAGAATATACTTCGACTGTCCAATATCATCGCCCTCAGTCACCTTCAACAGGACTTAGCTGCAAAATCTCAGACCCTTTGAATTTTGAAAATCGTTGCTTCTGCTGATTACGAGACTGAGAAGTCCATTCCACCATCGAGCATTGCAGATTGAACTGAGTCAACTTTCTTAACATAAAAATTCGCTGTATTATTGTCGCAAAGTACTCATCTAAGTTTATGAATTTGGAATTCCAAAAGAAACTTAAGTTTCTCAACAAGACGATTGTACCCAACTTATAAAGTCTCTTTCTTCCAAAAGAACCTTGTTCTAGCATATTTCCCTCATAGTTAAGGCAATATTCTTGATCGGAAAGTCTATTTTGCTGATTGAGAAAAGCTTTGCAAAATTTTATGATCTTCCTCTGAAGACGAAAAGGACGCGCGACCGGGGCTCGACCACAGAACTACTCGGATCACAAACGAACGTGTAACCTACTGCGCCTTAGATGCACGGTCGGAGAGGCGTTGAAAGGTGTCATAAATTTATCAAAGCGGACGCATTTAGACAAGTCGTGTTCCGGATGCCGAAAGATAGCCGCCAAGTTAAATAAACTGGAACTAGAATGAAAAAACATGAAAGACTTTATACACGAATCTGTTCTTCAGGAGGATACTACGCAAAGAGTAACTCGTATTAGAACGAGGGGTATTATGTTTAATACATCCCCAGAAAACAGGCAAGTTGTGTCTAAAAATTAGTATGGTCGCGCCTCACGAAGGGCCAAAGACTAAGGAAAAGACACCATCGACTACCACACAATAAGGTCACCTTGTCCCGAGAGGGAAGCGGTCGGGCCCGCTCAATAAGCAAATACTAGAGCAAAAGGAAATCGCAGCCCGAGTTGAGGAAACCCGTACTTCGGTGGGGTCGAATATCTATCAGCGCTCTCCGAGCAAAGGCACCGTTGACCGAGCACAGAGCGAAACTATTCCGGATGCCCCAGCAGACATTCCCATTTTACCAGCCCCATTTCACGATTCTAAGTTGTGGGAAAATAAGTAAAAATCCGCAATTCATAGAAGCGTCCCTTACAAGGGCGACTGCATCGTAATCCAGGGACTACCCGAGTCCTCTGCTGACACTCCCAAGGAAAGAAGTGATGTTGACGTAGGGTTATTCCAAGAGCTCCTAAACGAACTGTTGCAACTATCTGAGGAAGTCTTCTACCGAAAGATCTTCGGCCATGGAAGTCGCCTAAATATAACTCAGCAGACTAGGTCGCGACCACTTAAATTGTCCTAACCAGCGACGAGTAAGCAAAACTTCTACTGTCTAGGCGTTTTTCGATTGAAGCACTCCCAAAAAAAGTGTTTTTTTCAGACGGATAACTCTCACCAAAAGGATGAAACGCCGAAAATTGGTTCTAGAATGGAGGGGACAGCGAAGCAACGGAGAACAGAATCTATTGACTTACAAGGACCCGATAGTCGAACGACATTCTCCCCCCCCCTTGATCAAACGGAGTCGAATGACAACGCAGCTACTCCAGTAGACTGCGTCGGGGTTAAAAACGGACCGCGCAAGAACTCAAAGCTGACATTTATGTACACTAATACACAAAGCTTAATTTCAAAATGGATGAACTGACAATCAACGTATCCGACCTCCTTCCGGATGTTATTTCGGTAATAGAAACATGGTTGTCGGACCAGATTGACAATCAAGCGCTTGGAATACCTGGCTTTCAAATGTTCTGCAAAGACAGAGACAACCGAAGAGGTGGAGGCATAGCAACCTTCATAACGAATGGTTTGCATGTTTCAGAAAAAACGGCTAATATGTCTTGTCTGTTAGGGCAACGGGTTCCCAGAGCCTCGATATCTTAACTCTCTACCGACCCCAAGGAACGATCCTGGAGCTGATGCCCTAGTGCTAAATGAGCTTAAAACCTTTGCTAGGCGATCAAATACCCTTATCGTTGTGGACTTCAATGCACCTACCATCATTTGGAGCTCCTCCTTAGCCGATTGCCCTGAATCGGCATTCGACTACAAGCTCCTGCACGTCACATTTCCCACAAGAATTCTTGACGGCCAGCGGATGAACAGCCTCGATCTTGTGCTCACTAAGTCACCTGAAAATATTGACATTGGTTGTTGCTTACCCCCACTAGGCCAGAGCTACCATGCACTTTATTTTCGCTGCCGCCCAACTGCAAGACCTCCGACCAAATATTTAGCGTGGCGATTTCGAGCAGATGAAACATGATCTCAGTTTCATCGACGATATAGCGTGCATACGCAGCTGTGTTTGTGCGCGACGGGATGGTTGCTGAGTTAACTCAGAATACGCGAAGTATTTGTCGCCTTTCTGTTAACTGTTGTTTTGAGTTGCCCACCGTATTTTCTACACACCAGCTTGTGGAAGAACGGCAACTGGCAGTCTTTTGGGAACAATTCAAAGGGATAGCCCACAATCTCATCTCTAGCCACTGCCCAACTACGCGCAGAAAACTAACGAATAGACCTCGCTGGTGTACTCCATCCTTAAAAACGTAAGTTGACAAGAAGATAAAACTGTGAAGAAGGTACCTTATTGATAGGACACCTGAATACCCCAATAGTTGCAGGATGCAGAGGGACCGGGTCAAACGTACCATTGTCAGAGACGGACAGATGTTCGAACAGTATCTGTTAAACCGTGCCATGGTTAATCCCAAAGTCCTTTACAGTTATATAAGGTAAGAACAAGGATCCTATCCCCCTATTGCGAACTGTCGAAGGTGCAGAACACTCAGGGGACAATGATAAGGCTGATCATCTCTCTCAGTTCATCCAGCCCGTCGAGACGACTGAACCCGGTTTTTTATCTCACACTTATGAAGACGATCCGATTCCATTGATTGACACAGTCTTCTTCACCGAAGGTATAATTAGAA